ATGGATTTTTTAATGTGTTCTTACATTTTATATGATCTGAAATTATATGAAACATTTTGACATAACATTGGGCTGACAGTCTCCAGTGGATGCGACAACCAGATTACCGGTTGTTGCATCCATTGAACGCTTTAGATTTTTTATTATACATAAATTGTTTTATTAATAAGACTTTAAGCATCGCATTGATATAAAAAAAAATAAAAAATTGTTTAAATGTGACACCCATCATGAAGACATTTTTATTTTAGGTTTATGAATTTAAATACAAAAAGATAAATGGAGGTAAATCATTCTAAAAAAAACACAAAGAAGAATACAGTTGAAGGTGATTGTAAATCATAACAAATTAACTCAAATTGAGTGGAAACTTAATATTATAATGGATGATACTTGTTTGATGTCAGTTTTAGGATTTCACCCTTAGAGCATAAAATATAAAACATTTTTTCCTTTTCTCTGGTTGCTTGGTGCTGGAGGTCACTGTTGATTTAACAACTGGATAAAAACCCCATAAAAAAAAAAATGGAAGAGAACGTAAAGTTGGCACAATTTAAACATTTTTAAGGTAAAAAATTCTGTAAAATGTTGAGTTTGCATTAAAATTGTGAGAAGATCCTTCCAATCACTATGGCAATATTTGTGACACAGGTTTTCACAGGCTGGGCTAGCACACACACACATATATATATATATATATATATATATAAAAACTCTTACTACTACTACTAGAGGCCTGAGGGTTCTGCGCAGTATCTTTCCTGTTCCTAGAACTGCTCTCTTCTGGACTGAGCTGTCTGATGTATTTCCTGGGATCTGCTCTAACCACTCCTCCAGTTTGCTGCTACCTTGGACCCGCCCCTTTAACTCAATCCTGCTTGAACTGATCATGAATCTGTGAACATGCATTGATAGAGTTGATAACCAGCTTGCTTGTACCTCTGACCCAGATTATATTAGTTGTGGATTGGTTCAACTGGAAGTAATCTATGGTACGGTCCTCTGGGTTTTTTTCTTTTCAGTCAAGGAATGGAAGTTTTGTTGTTGTTTTTGTTTGTTTTGTTTTGTTTTCTACAATGTTGGGGAACACCCGATCGTTTACTGAGAGAAATCCTTCTGGTTTTAGGATGACAGAATGTTCAAGAACTCAGCTGGTGAGCGCCATCCATTTACAGGAGGTGGAACTGCAGGAAAAAGCTGCAGACAACCAGCAGGGAAACGGTAGCAGTAACAACAATGGTGAGTTAGATGAACATGGGTCTCATCTTGTCTTTCATAGTCAGATTTTTTCTTTAAAAATGAAAATAAATAATTGATAAAAAAAAAAAACAAGATATATGAAGAAAACAATTAGTATGAAGTATAATTATTAATGTTAATAGAGAGCTAGCAGGAGACTGAAGAGGTAGAACGCAGCATCTAAGAGTAGATGAGAAGTTCCTAGAGATTCCCATGAAGGTCACGTCCTGAATGAGTGAAAAAACAAGGAGGAAACATAAAAAGCTGCAAGTTCATTTTATTTTCTTTTTCATTGTGGTGAGCCATCCTTCTACACAAATGTTTTTTTTTTTTTTCCGCACCCACAAGTTTCCATCAACTAGATTAACTGGCCACTTAAACAGCTCACCAGGTTAATTACAGTCTTTAGAAATGCTTTCATTCTTTGTGATATAGACATGCGGACAAAGCTGTTGGTTCCTTCGTTTAAAGGAAAAACGCACCGGAATCTGACAAAGTAAAAGTAAATAATAAAAAATCTATGAAAATAAAAAATGAAAGTCAGATATTTACAGTATTTTCAACATTTTTTTTTTTTATGAATGAAACAGGTCTGGATTAAAATGATGGTTTCCCTCTAAAAATGTCTCCATAGGGACGTGTTGAATCAAGGTGTGTCCATTAATTAGCATCACAGGTTTCTACATTCTAGTAATCGGCCTATATAAAGGGCTGCAGGAAGGCACCCCGCAGTTTGGTGGCATGGTGTGTACCGCACTCAACATGGACCAGAGGAAGCAAAGGAAAGTCATCTCAGGAGCTTAGAAAGGAAATGATGGAGCAGCTTTTTAAAAGTAACGACTATCGGACCGTCTTAAAGCAGCTGGTGTTTCTGTGAGTAAAACTATTCAGAAAACTAAGATCCATGGACTGCAGCCAACCTCCCTGGATGCAGCTGCAGGAGGAAAACTGATGCCAGAAAAACTTCTATGGAGACTAAAGATTAACTTGAAGCTCAACATCAGTGTCAGATCAGAGCATTTATCGCTGTTTACGCCAAAGTGGACTTAATGGGAGGCGAGGAACCATTGATGGAAGCATATCCTGAAAAGGCCAGACTTGAATTTAGCAAACTACATGTTGACAAGAAACTAACCTCCTGGGAGAACGTCCTCTGGACAGAGGAGACAACTGAGATTCTAGCTAAGAAACATCAGCTCTATGTTCGCAGACAGAGAGAGGAAAGAAAACTGTCTCTACTGTGAAACATGGAGGAGGCTCTGTTATGCTCTGGGCTGCCAAGTGTCTGGATCTCTGCAGGGTATCAGGGATTGTAGAGAGAAATGTGCTGCAATGTCAGAAAGCTTGGTCTCGGTTCGCAAGTCGTGGGTCTTCAACAGGATAATGAGCCAAAACACACAGATAGAAACAGCCAAGAACGGCTGAGAGGAAAACATTGGACTGTTCTGAAGGGGCCCTTAGGAGCCCTGACCTCAATCCTACTGAGCATCTTTGGAAGGAGCTGGAACAGGCCGTCTGGAAAAGGCAGCCTGAGACTCCTGGAGCAGTTTGCTGATGAGGAGAGGAGCAGAAAACCCGCAGAGAGGAGCAGAGGTCTGACTGACAGGAACAGGAACCATTGATGGCAGAGATTGACTCTAAAGGCTGGACAGCTAATATGAAGTTAAGGGAACCATCATTTTAGTCCAGACATGTTTGATGGGTTTATTTTTTTATCATTCTGTTGAAAAACAATGATTGTTTTTTCATTTCCATAGATGTTTTATTTTTATTACTTTAGTCAATTCAAGTTATTTCTGAGATCATTGTGGAGTTTTCTTTGTCTAAAGCAGGGGTTTTGTCCACATGTGTCTCCCAGGCTAATAAAGATGAGCCATACTGCTGGTTTAAAGAGTTCCTCTTCAAATCCCAAATCATTCATCAACAAACTCATTAGCTGTCGTCAATTCAGTTCAATTCAGTTTATTTCTATAGCGCTAATTCACAACACGTAATCTCAAGGCACTTTACAGTTCAA